CAGCCGACAAATATTAACATTTATTATATTTTATGGTTAACTTTTTTTTCTTTTCAAGATTGACAGGGGAGGCTCTGCCTCACCTGCCTCCCCTGACCGCACGTCACTGCTGTGGCGTGGGGAGGGTGGGAACAGGGGGGTTCAGTGATGGTGGTGGTCTGCTTCGACCGTAAGGATCATTTATTCCGTGTGACCAACAACGCCCGTAACGTCCTTAGTAACTTGATGCATATTTCCTGTTCCTTTACAAGTGAAGTCAGGTGTAGCAGCTGCTGCTGGTTGTTTTGAAGCCACTTCCAGATCCGTAACGAGGACACTTCCGCATTCCTTTCTGTCAAGTGGGGGGTGTCGTAGCGGTCAGAAAACCCCGGTTTATCCTACTCAGAGTTACAAGGCTGACGTGAACGGGTTTTCCCACTCGGCTGCTCGTCCTTACGGTTTACACGACATGGCGTGAACGCAGCATTCACCTGGCCGCGAGGAGGCGCTGCTACAGGGCGAAAGTCCACCTGTTACCGTGGCCTGGCTGCTGCCTCCACTGCTGTACTGGTGTTGGTAGTGAACCACTGCAGAGTGAACGTAACTGTAGCTTGGTTCCCGCCCCCAGGACACCACACCGGACGAGCTTCTGAGTGCAGTGATGACAGCTGTGCTGGCAGATGTTGGGCTGTCACCTGACAAGCTGGGAGACGTGTGTGTGGGTGAGAGGACACCTTTACTGTTGCAGGTTTCAGGTCACCCGTTAACTATTGTCTGTGTTAACTGTTTAGACTGTCAAATATCAAAAATGGTTCAAATGTACACAACAGTTTCAGCCAGCAGAGTCCAGAGCTAGGCCTCGTTCTCTGTCCCTGTACATCACATGTCTGATTCCTCTGTGCTCACCTGTGCAGGCAATGTGCTGCAGCCCGGCGCCGGTGCTGTGATGGCCAGAGTGGCTCACTTCCTCAGGTTGGACCGATTCCTGTCCCTCCCTCACTGATCCCGTGTCCATCAGTCTCTAGGTCTCACTGCTCTGTCTCTGTTTCAGTGGGTTTCCAGAGACCGTTCCGGTCTACGCCGTGAACCGGCAGTGCTCCTCTAGCTTGCAGGCGCTCTTCAACATCGCAGGTAAGGCTGCTGTCAGCAGGGTGCTCGGGGATACTAAACAGACGGGTTCTGTCCTGGTTCTGCTCCATCGCGCTGCAGCATTTCATTATGTCCTGGGCTGGTGTGGCAGAGACTGTAGCTGCTTCTACATCGGTGGCGGAAAGGTTTATATGAGCTGGTCAGGAGGCGGCGGCCCCTGGACCCAGACATGAAACGGTTTTATGAGCCGGTATGGTCTGCTCCATCGCGCTGCAGCATTTCATTATGTCCTGGGCTGGTGTGGCAGAGACTGCGGCGGCCCCTGGACACAGACATGAAAGGTTTATATGAGCTGGTCAGGAGGCGGCGGCCCCTGGACACAGACATGAAAGGCCCCCAGCCTCCCACACTCGCAAGTCAAAACTCACAGACTGAGATAAACATGGCTGGTGGTCAGTTTGTGTCCCTCTGTGCTGCTTTGTAGCATCTGGTTTTAGCCATTTAGTGTTCATCTCTCCAGCTCTCTAGTTTCTGCCTCTGCACCGGTGACAGTCACAGCTGGAGACACTGGGGGAAACTTAGCAAACCACCGTCAGGCACAGACTGATGATGTCAACGACCTTGAACGTGCATCAGCTGGTCAGGGCAAGCCTGCCCTGCACTTGAATGAGCTGATTCGGTTTTGGTGGTCAGAGGTCACAGTGACCTCATGACTGTCCCGTGATGTTGGTGGAGGCGACAGCTGTGAAGTGGGAATTCTAGTTTTACTTGTTTTGTGTTTATTTGTGACGCTCTGCGTGTGTTTGTGGTAGTGGTCCACCAGTATGGGGTTTTAGCCAAGGGCCGACACACGTCCATCTTTTTTCATCAGATAAAACTCAACCATTTCACGACAAACAAGACAAATTTCCAGAACTTAAATGAACATTTGTAAAACACCAGTGCGTTAGGAAAATGTTATTTTATGTATTTGAGAATAAAACCTGAGCGTCATCTCTGGTTGCTACGCTCTGTGCTCCCCTTATTTTACTTTTTAAAAAATGTCCACAGAAGGCTAAACGTCACTGACAAGGCAGCTGTGTGTTTGTTACTCGGCCTCGTGAACACACACTGGTCAATTCTCTAAAAACGTTGGCCCTGTTAATCGGCCGACTGCCTCCTCAGTAGCTGCCGTGGTTTGGTTGTTTCACCCTGTTGTCATTGGTGAGAACGGCCACTGACCCGGCGTCTCTCTGCAGGAGCCATCAGGAGCAGCTCCATTGACCTGGGCCTGGCGTGTGGGTACGTTTGATTCCAGCTCTAATACGTAACAAATGAAATCCTGTTTCTGTGGTTCACGACAGACTGGTGACTGAACATGTGCTGGTTTGACTTTGAATGTTCTTTTTTTTAAAAACATTATCTAAATTAATTAGTTGTGGGCGTTTGCCTGTGTAGCACTATGAGCTGTATCAAGTTCTGATTGGGTCGATCATCTGTGTGTGTGTGTGTGTGTGTGCACGCGTGTACATGTGCGGGACAGCGTGGAGAGCATGACGCTGCGATCTACGGATAAACCAGGGGACCTGAGCTCCAGGCTGACAGACCATGACAAGGCCAGAGACTGCCTGATCCCCATGGGGTGAGATGTGCACATACACACACACACGCTGTGACAGTCCCACACTCTCCCCTCCAGTCAGTTAATCAATGAACAGTTAGTCGATTATGTACAGTATATTATCAGTCAGCTGTGAACCTGCAGCCACAGGTTAACCGCTTCTCTCGGAACCTGTTGGTGTGTTGCTGCTGCCCCACACCCGTCCTGTCCCCAGGACATGTTGGACACCAACACAGAGTCCTGAAAATCCACAGTGAGCTGGTTGTAAGCCCCCAGTTTGATAAGTGGCCCTGACAAGTCTTGGTAACATTGTTGTGCTAATTGGTTCTGATGTGACAGTTGTTGTTAAAGCACTAGATTTATAATCCTGAATCCGCTGTGACCAGAACTGTGTGTGTGTGTGTGTGTGTGTGTGTGTGTGTGTGTGTGTGTGTTTCCTGCAGCATCACCTCCGAGAGCGGGGGGGGGGGGTCTCTAGAGAAAAGCAGGACGCCTTCGCTCTCAGTTCTCATCAAAAGTAATCAAGCTTTTTTTCTTCTCACTGTGAAACAAGTCAGAGTGAACCTGGTCCTTATGTCGAGTTATGGACCCACTAGTCCGACCTATCCCAGAATGCTTTGGGGTGAAAAAAATCAAACATCAGGACTTCAGAATAATATTCAAGGATTCTAAAGTAATGCAACAGTCACTAGGATCCATATCAAACATCAGGACTTCAGAACAATATTCAAGGATTCTAAAGTGATGGACACAGTAATGCAACAGTCACTAGGATCCATATTTGTCAGAGACGTTACTGTGACACGTTCTGCAGGACGAGTACTGGTACTACTGGTAGATTTTGATGCTAGTGTGTTTGTACTTAAAGCTACAGTATGTAACTTGTTTTCAGAAGTTGCTGTTGTAGAAATCAGCTCCACCACGTGTCCTAATGTGGAGAAGAGCTGTTGACGCCTCCTGTGACCCAGACTCACAGAACAGCAGACACAATGGGTTTCTAAAAGGATTTGAGCCGGATTGACCTCTGACCCGTCAGAGGGCTGGGAGAGGCAGCGCTGGGCGGAGCAGGGTGGGCTCACTTGGAGCTTCATGTCAGTGCTGCCTTCAGTTACCTACTGTAGCTTTAAGTTGCACATCGAATGCTGGGTTTTACTTGTAACAGAGTATTTGTACACTGTGGTACTGTTACTTCTTCCACCACTGTCAATTCCCTGCCTCCTCGCTCCCACAGAGCAGCGCGGGCACAGAGCAGCGGACTGTTCGACCACGAGATCCTTCCCGTCACCACCAGGTTTGTTGACGACGAGGGCAAAGAGCACGAGGTGACGGTCAGGAAAGATGATGGGATCCGACCAGGGACAACGCTGGCAGGACTTGGTAAACTGCGGCCGGCCTTCAAACCTTACGGCAGCTCAACAGCAGGTGAGTCTTGAGGTGCGCCAACAGTTAAGCGCAGGAGTCAGGCTCAGCAGTAACACACACACTGCTCTGTTTCAGGTAACTCCAGCCAGGTGAGCGACGGAGCAGCGGCCGTGCTGGTTGGTCGCAGGTCTGTGGTGGAGGCTCTGGGTCTGCCGGTGCTGGGAGTCCTGAGGGCCAGTGCAGTGGTGGGGGTCCCTCCTGAGGTTATGGGAATTGGACCAGCGGTCGCCATCCCTGTGGCTCTGGAACAAGCTGGTAGGTGTGTGTGTGTATTGTGATTTACAAATGAGAAATAAAGTAACTTAAAATGATTGTCAAAACCAGGTGAGAGGACTGAATGTCCCCACGGTGTAGAAACCGTTTCAAACAGGTGAAAGAAAATTTTCACTTGTGAAACAGATTTTTTTTTCTTCTAAGTATTTTTGTAACGCTTGTTTCGGCCACCGGACCATGTTCTAAATCGGAGAAATTAAAACATCTGGAAGAAAACAGGAAGCCTTTTAGTCTTTGTCAGTCGACATTCTGCAGCCAGACCCACTTCCTGTTTAGCGGTGAAAAATATTTATTTACTATTTACTAGTAAAATCAAAACCAACCTTTTCCTCACCTGTTTCAGACGGGGAGAAGAACTAAAGATTATCAAGGTGAAAACTTTTATTCTCAGGTCCAACACAGGAAGTTGGACCATTTTTATTTTTATTTCCCCACTTGTGGACATTTGTCATATTGTGATATTTCAACTTTTTAGTTGTATTAAAATCACAGAGGGGTCCCAGACTCCTGCTGTAGATCCTGATGATCCTCTGACTTTTCCTGCAGAGCTGCCAACAGCTGTTAGCATGTTGTACCCGAGGTGCACGTTTGATTATGTATAAACAAAACCCACTTGGCTGAGTCTCAGCTCTTGTACCGATGTTTAGTCTGGTTTCACTTTCATCTTTTTGCTAAAAGCTTTTCCTCGTGTTCCCGTTTCCCCCTCAGGACTGACAGTGGCCGATATCGACGTGTTTGAAATCAACGAGGCCTTTGCCAGTCAGGTGAGCCGCACACACACAGACACACTGAAGGGATCGATTTGTAACATTACTTTAATCCAAATCCCATGTGACATCCAGCCGTGCACGTGACTCTGAGAAGTGCCCTGCATTCACCACAGAAACGTGGACGTTTTCTCTGTGATGCAGGTTTAAACAATTCGTTGGTAGCTGATCTGCTGTACTTACTGTTCCACAACATAAACAAATATCGGCTAGACATGATGCCCCAACGGCACAGGGTGACTGTATCCATGGCAACCTTTTGTATGCTTCCTGTCAAATCTGTTCACACAAGTATTGTTAAACGTCGAGATCAGGAGCTTGTAGGTTACAGCGGTCATCGTTATTTGAGAAGGCTGCCTGGTCCCGTGGTCTCAGTCCCATCTGGGTCGGCTACATCATCAGTATGGACATGGTTTTGGCAAATCACAAACATATGTTCAGATACTTTTATGAGAAATGGATACTGTTGCCATGGATACAGGGAGCGATTGGGCGTGTTTACGCTGTGGAAGATGAAATACGCTGGATTAACTATTAGCAGCTGCTACTTAGAACTGTCCCTGAATTACTGGGACACTACAGCATTTATATTTCAGCCTCATGCTTACAAGACAAGGTCCTGTTTCTTTGGTGAATGCAGTGGGCTTCTGTACAAACTGGTCTCACTTTAGTCTGGGGATCCAGGACGTTGTTCCTGGAAAGACATTCAAAGTTAACCACATTTTGCCAGTGAAGGAAAACAACCAAACCCAGACCTGTCCTCATCTTATCGGCCTGCTGAGTCTCAGCTGGAGTTGCTTCTTTGTGTCTCGCTACTCAGGCTGTGTACTGTGTGGAGAAGCTGGGCATCCCAGAGGAGAAGGTGAATCCGAATGGAGGAGCCATCGCTCTGGGTCATCCCCTGGGCTGCACCGGCGCCCGACAGGTGGTGACGCTGCTCCACGAGCTCAGACGCAGAGGCCGGAGGTTTGTCTCGACCAGGTCAGACTCCTGTTTACAGTGTGTTCACCTTCTTATTGCCCCTCTGTGTGTGTTTGCCCTGATTCTTGTCTTTTCTTATTGCCCCTCTCCTGTGTGTGTTTGCCCTGATTCTTGTCTGCAGGGCGTTTGGTGTCGTGTCCATGTGCATCGGGACTGGGATGGGCGCCGCTGCTGTCTTTGAATACCCCGGACCATAGGAACATTAATGTCAAAGCTCCAGGTCTGAACCGGGGCTCAGAGACTAACCTGAAGCTGCTGCACTGTGATCTCATGTTTTAATCCTTCGCTGTTTCCATGTGGAGCTACAGTGACTAAAAACGCACTTTGGCGTGTTTCTTTACAAAAGGGTTTTCTCTGTGCAGAAACGACAATAAATCATTTCAGTCTGTGTCACTTCATGTTGTCGTCCTGCTGTTGGGACTGCTCCTGTACAGACATCACAAGGCAGGAGACACTGACGTGAGAGGGTTTGTAGAAGCAGTCGACATGAAGAATCGCCTGTCGCCGTGCAGTCTCGCCTACAAGAGCGTCTGCTTCTTCCGAGCCTGAAACTGCTCCGTTTTGCTTTTGATCGACTTGACGAGCAAAGACAAACTGGGGTCCAGTGATTTCTTCACTGTCGGCGCAGTGTCCCGTTCCTGCCCTGGCGGTGGGCTCCCCCCGTGTGGGCGCAGCCTTCTGAGCACTGAGGACATCCTCCACCCTCTGCTGCTGCTCCTCACGTCTGCGCTGCTTCTCGGCCAGGATGCTCTGCGTGGCTTTGGTCTTCCTGTAGCTGGGGTGGGACGGGTCAAGGTTGAACAGGTGCGAGGTGAACATGGCCTGGAAGCGAGGGTCTTTAACGTCCACCTGGACAGAGAGATGGGAAACGTGACGCCACCAGTCAGAACCAACAGCTCACTGTGGACGCTGCAGTTTGTGCTGCTGAGCAGCAGATTTTTTTTTTTAAATAAAGCTTTCACTTTCAAGTCGTCATCCTCCAGCAGCTCCTCGCTCTTCTTCAGCAGCTTCTTCCTCTTGTTCTTGCTCAGGTTCTGCTGCTCCACAATCTTGTCGTAGTTGAAATGTTTGCGTTTGGCGTCGTCCTCCATCAGCAGAGCCATCTCAGCCTGCGCACACACACACACAAACACGTTCAGATGTTGAGCTGACATCAGAGGTCACAGATGGGAGGAGCTCATGGGGTTTTACCTTTTGTTTCTCCAGCTCCTCTTCATCCTCCTCCTTCCTCTTCTTCCCCTTCTGCCTCCTCTGGAGATCTGCAAACACATGAGACCACAGTCTGTGACCCTTTTCGTGGACACACATGGAATTTGTTTCCAATAGAGAACCGAGGCAGCCATCTGCGGCGCCAACTCAACCGATGGCTCCAACCTACGTGAGTGTCACACCTGCTATGTGCTAATAAACCGTGATCACTGCAGCAGAGATGGTGACATTGTGACCTGCTGCTTCGCTTCTGTTACAATCAGCTTATACAGCATTTGACAAAAGCTTTAGACTAATCACATCATTCTGAAAGCAAACCCGTTTTAAACCCCGTGATTCCCATTAAGGTGCACTCTGACTTTTGTCTACAGACAGGAAGAAGAACAGTGCTCGAGCCCATGGACTTGGTTTTAGCTCAGAGAGAGCCGAGTGTCCACGCCACCTTTTCTGATGATTTGAAGAGCAGCAGCTTTGTTTTAGGCAGGCACCGATTCATTATCCTCATTCTGATTGGACAAAAACACCAGTGCTTTGATTTATTATAATATTTTTTCACCTGGAGGTGTCACAAAGAAAAACAAGGTTGGCAGCAGCACAAAGCAAAACACTTCACCCTCACTGAAAATTCCAAAAAGCTGCTTCAGGCTGAAACACACCATCTGATCAGGGCCTCACACAACGCCGGCGCCAGGTTAGAGTTAGGTGACTCACTGACTGCTAGCCGGTACTGCTCACCTGTAGCGCCGAGCTCCTCTGCGAAGAACGGGTCCCTGAGGTCGACGTCTGGAGGGAGCTCATCGTCGCTAAGCTCCTCCTCACCTGCTCCCTGAGGCGAGAACAGCACAAACAAACAGTTGGGAGTGAGAAACCAACGTTGGTGCAGTGACGTGTCTTGTGCAACGTGTGCACGGCTGATCTGTCAGGGCAGACACGAGCTCTGTGGGAACATCGCTGCTCTTCATCTGGCAACACCCTCCTGTTGCTAACTCACCTGTTTTCTTTGAGATTTCTTCTGCTTCTTCTTCTCTTTCTTCTTCTGCAGGAACTCCTCCCAGGGCGTCAGCTTGTTCGTGTCCTCCATCTTCTTCTTCACCAGCTGCTCTGTCACCTCCTTCAGCCCTGCACACACACACAAAATACACATTTCCTAAAGCTCAAACTGCTGACGAGGGATGTGCAGGACAGTGGACCTGTCACAGGTGGGGGTCCAACGTCTGCTCCGGTCAAATTCACGCACACAGCGACACAGAACAAAAGCATAGCATGTCACACGCACCTCGCACAGGCCTCATACTCGTCACTATATTTGGTGTGTTTGCTTCCACAGCGGAAGCGCTGGTA